TTTTTTTAGTTCTCGGCGGACACAACATCTTTATTGGTATGTGGTGCTGAGGATCGAACCCGGGCCGCACGCATGCCAGGCGAGCGCGCTACCGCTTGAGCCACATCCCCAGCCCCTGAACAAATCTTTCAGTTTGGAGAAAGAGATGTAGTTTGGAGTCAAGGCCATGTCTATTATATGAGGACAGACACTGATTATTGCCTTTGTTTCTTTGTATGAAAAATGTAAAGAATAAGTTTTGAGTTTGTTCTGCTCAGAACAAGATATTACTATTAGAAATGATGGCAAGCTAATGAAATCCCTGGGGCATCTGGCAGAAATAAATATGAAGATACTTTGGAAGGATGGGTATTCCAACCATTTTGCAAAATACTTGTAAAGATAAAAAACCCTGATAAAGGTGAGTTCACAGTTTAAAATTACAAAGAAGATTAGGCCAAGCAAGAGTGAACAACAAAGAACAGACTGAAATCTTCCTTCTCCCAAATATCTTTGGATAATTAAATACTTGATACACACTATAAAATCTTTTTTTGTTTGTTTTTTTGGGTACTGGGAATTGAACCCAGGGGCACTTTACCACCATAGAACTACATCCCCTGTCCTTTTTAAATTTTTGTGTTTAGTTGTAGATGGACACAGTACCTTTATTGATTTATTTATGTGGGTGCTGAAGATTGAACCCAGTGCCTCACATACGCTACACGAGAGCTCTACCACTGAGCCACAACCCCAGCCCCTCCCTTGTCCTTTTTTATATATATATATATATATTAGTAACAGGGTCTTACTAAGTTGTTTAGGGCCTCACTAAGTTGCTTAGGCTGGCTTTGAACTCAAAATTCTCCTGCCTCAGCCTCCTAAGCTTCTGGGAACACAGGCATGCATCACTATACCTGGACATACTGTCAGATTTTTTTGTTTAAAATTAGTATGGGTATAAAAGGAGAAATAGAATATATGATCAAGAAATAAGACATTAAAAATGAACAGACTTCAGGATAATGGAAATAAAAATCATTGAGACTCAAAAACTCAGTGGGAAAATTTAAATATCAAGTTAGATATAGCTAAAAAGAAAATTAGTGAACTGCAAGAGAGATCTGAGGAAATTAACTAGAAAATAGCAAAGATTAAGAATAACAGAGAAATAGAGGCTAGAATGAGGTCTAATAGGAGTTTCAGAAAGGATTCAGAGAGGCGAGAAAGTGGCAGTTTAGAAGAGATGAACATCAAGAAATTTTAGAAATTCTAGATTTGAATTTTAAATTTTAAAAATTTAGATTTGAAACACAAATCTTTTAAACTCCAGAAATATAGCAAATCATAAACAGAGCCACTGCAGAACAATAAAGATAGAATGAAGATCTTAAAATTTGCTGGAGGGAAAAGACATTAAAGAAGAACAAATAGTTGATTATAGACTTCTCAATTGTAGTAATGAATATAATGAAATGAGACATTCCATTGTCCTACGTAGTGGGGAAAATATCACCATGCACCTAGAATCCTGTGCCCAGCTTAATTGTTATGAAATCAATGTCAAACAAAGATAGGTTAATATACTATTGATGACAGACATTCTAAAAGCTATAATTCAGGATAAAAAAATTTAAACTTGTAAGAAGGGAATGCATTGAGGATACACCTATTTATGATATAGCACTCAAGTCTCATATTCTTTTGACCATTATTTTACTAAAGTTGTTACAGATTAACCAAGAAAGATTGCTAAAGGTCCATGGAAATACTGATGTAGATAGACTTTTTAAAAAATTTAATTTAATTAGTTATACATGACAGTAGAAAGCATTTATGCACTTTGATATATCATACATATATGGGATACAAATTCATTTTTCTGAGTGTACATGTTGCAGAATCGGTCATGTAGTCACATATATACATATAGTAACAATGTCTGTTTCATTCTGTTATCTTTCCTATCCCTACATCCCCTCCCCTCCCATTACTTCCCTTTAGCTAATCTAAGGTAACTCCCTGGTGTCCCCTCCCCGCCCCCCAACTTACTGTGAAGTAGCATCTGCATATTAGAGAAATTATTTGGCCTTTGGTTTTGTGGGATTGGCTTATTTTGCTTAGCATGATRTTTTCCAACTCTAACCATTTACTGGAAAAATGCCATAATTTCACTCTTTAAAGCTGAGTAATGTTCCATTGAACATATATATACTACATTTTCTTTATCCATTCATCTATTGAGGGACACCTAGGTTGGTTCCATAGTCTAACTATTGTGAATTGAGCTGCTATAAACATTGACGTGGCTGTGTCATTATAGTATGCTGATTTTAAGTCCTTTGGGTTTAAACCAAGGAGTGAGATAGCTGGGTCAAATGGGGTTTCATTCCCAGTTTTCTGAGGAATCTCCATACTGCTCTCCATAGTGGTTGCAACAATTTGCATTTCCACCAGCAATGTATGAGTGTACCTTTTTCACCACATCTTCACCAATATTTATTCTTGCCTGTATTCTTCATGATTGCTATTCTGACAGGAGTGAGGTGAAATCTTAGAGTAGTTTTGATTTGCATTTCTCTAATTGCTAGAGATGTTGAACACTTTTTCATATAGTTGTTGATCAATTGTATTTCTTCTCAATTGTATTTCACTGAAGTGTCTGTTCAGTTCCTTAGACAATTTATTGATTGGGTTTTTTTTTTTGTGTGTGTGTGTGTTAAGTTTTTTTGAGTTCTTTATATATCCTAGAGATTAATGCTTTATCGGAGGTGTGGCATAAAAGGAAGTAGAAAAATTGTAGAATCTAAAATGATTATCTGTGTGTGCATATGTGTGCTTGAAATGTTATGCATATGTAATGATTGAAAGCAGGAGCCAAGGTCCTGCTTTTTGCCAGGTATGGTGGTACATGACCATAATCACTCTATTTGGAAGGATGAGGAACACAAGTTTGAGGTACCTGGGCAACTTGGGGAGACCCTATGGCAGAGTTCAAAAAATAAATAAAGGTCTGAGTAGGGGCCTGTCAACAGCAAGTGAGTCAAGAAATTGTGGTATATATACCCAATAGAGTTTTACTTAGCCATCAAGAAGAATGAAATTGTGACATTTGCCAATAAATAGATGGAACTAGAGACTATCATGCTGAGTAAAATAAGCTAAATCCAGAAAAGCAAAGATCGAATATTTTCTCTCATTATGTAGAAGCTAGTGCAAAATAAGGATAAAAAGTGGGGAGAAGATCCCATGAAAATGAAAGGGAGATCAGTGAAGTAAAAGAAGGGGATCAAGAGGAAAGGAGGAAGGACAGGAAAAGGGGGAACTCTGGAATGAAATTTACCAAATTATGCAATGTACATGAATATACCCCAGTGAATTCCACCTTTATGTATATCCATAAGGCACCAATTTAAAAAACAAACAAACAATAAATAGAAGGAAGACCAGTAATAGAGACAGAGGAGTGGGGAAGGGAGGAAGGGAAATTGAAAGTATTCAGGATTGACGTGGAACGAGGTATTTTCCACACATGTAGTAATATGTCAGAACGAACTACATTACATTAATATGTATACTTATAATGCAATAATGAAAACATTTTAACATAAAATAAAGATCTGGAATGTAACTCATTGGTAGAGTTCTTACCTAGCAGGCCTGAGGCCCAGGATTCTGTCCCCAGTACTACATACAACAAATACTGTCCTGCTTTTTTTTTTTTTTTTTTTTTGTTAGCACTTTACAGTATTTTACAGCCAGTAGAATAGTTGATATTAATAACTACCTTGAAAGGTAAGAAATGGCTTAATTGTGTTTTAGAAATCAGAAATACTTAAATTTGTTTAGGAATATTTACACAAGTCTTAAAAGAATTTTGGTATCTGGAGGGAGAAATGCTACATTTACATTGAAAACTGGCTGATGTGGAATACCTTGTAAATTAAAAATTACAAAGCCTCTTTTTGATTAAGTTTCTTTCTTAGTTTCTGGAAGTCATTTTTTCCTGATAGGAATTAGGCCAGATGTCTCAGATACATTTATTTGTAAAAGTGCCCTTAATATTACTTTGTTTTAGAGGTGATATTTATCTGACATTATTGTTTATCTTATAATGATAATTATGTATATTGATAACCTTTGATATCTTATTACTTGAAAGTGTAGGACTATGTAAATAGTTAGGATTTTCCAAGTGAGTGATATAGTGCAGTGACTGGTGGTATTAATGAAATATTCATTGTATTTTTACAGCCAGTATCTTGAAAATTATCTCTGGATGAATTATTCTCCTGAGGTATCTAGCAAGGCCTATTTAATGTCCATCTGCTGTATGGTGAATGAGAAATTCAGAGAAAATGTTCCTGCATGGGAGGTAACATTTAAATTACTTCATGGCTTTTATACTTTGTCCACTTAAACTGTTAACAAAGTAGCAGAACTTTTTACAGACATTAAATGTGATTTTAGAGCAGAACTTTACACAATAGTAAACTACTATTAAGAAAAAGAGTATAATGTTAATCTTTTCCTCATGCTCAATGTTACACAAAATTACATAGAAGAGGATGTGAGGGGGAAGGGGGGGAAACAAGGGAGAGAATTGAACAACAGCAGATGAGGTAGAGAGGGATGATGGGTGGGGAGGGGAGGGGGAT